CCAATGGAGGGCAATGACCCTAATTCATGAAGGACAATGCGAACAGTGAACTATATTTGGATACAACGTGAACAGTGAGGTGACCATTTGTTCTGCAACACACATCTAAATTAGTGACTCTTAACACTCTGTCACATTCTTCAACACTTCAAACATGTCTCACTTAAGCTACCAGGAATTCCAACTCCAGAGCACCAAACCAAATCGTGCAGTCACTCATCAACAATTCTATAGAGCGGGGTTGAATTCATGACACTGAAGACAAGAGTGGTAGCTTACCCCTAGAGAGAAGTTCTGAAAGTGAGAAGCTTGGTTGAGTGAATCCTTCATGCCATTGTTCCCCACTTTGAGCTCAGGGCTGCTGCTTCCATGAGTGGAGTTAGATCTCTGGAAGTAGGACGTGTAGGAAGCTGCAGAGGAAGTTGACGATGACGATAAAGACGAGGAAGCATCGAGGGAGGAAGAAGCTCCAAATGATGACTCAATATCAACATTGAACATTTCATTGAATAAATCTTGCAGCTGCTCAAAACTCTCCTCCCCAGTCTCCTGCCATTATCCAGACATTTCCAAGAAACCCCGTCAATATTCTAGTGCTATGGTAGAAGCAAAGGTCATGAACTTTCTGCTCATATTGGGTTTTGCCAATCAAAGATTTGAGATTGAGGAGGCTTACCACAGTAGGTTCAGTTTGGCTCATCATGTCAGCCATTTCATTCAGGAAATCACCCATTCCCTGCAAATAACACCATAATTAGTGGCTTGATATCGATCTTTTTTAATTATCAAGCAAATCAAAAGGCTTCCTTTATGTTTACAAGGAGCACACAAGAATCAAAGCATGAGAGCTCAAAGGGATTATTACATCTTCGTCATCATCATCATCATCATCATCACTATGGTAGGCTCCGACGTCGTAAAGGAACCTCTTGTTGGCATCAGACAGAACTGTTTTGTAAACAAAAGAAGTGACAAACAAACACAAAATAGAAGCGTTGGGAAATGGGGATAGAGAAAACAAGACAGAACCAGACAAAGAAGAACCCACCAGAAGTCCCCCAAACTTTCTATTGCCAAATCTCCAACTTTTTTAATATAATTCAACTTGCCAACTTGGCGTGCCGTATTGAGAACAAAATTTTGGTTTTCATACATGATACAACACAAATTTTCTACTGATTAAGACGGTTTTAAGGAAGAAGAGGGGAAGTACCAGAATATGCCTGCTGAATTGCCTGGAACTTGCTGTTAGCTTCTTCAACATGCTTCGAGTTTCCTGAAGCTGAACAACGATCTGGATGCCATCTCTAAAATAGTTTCCCCCACAAATTAACAGAAGGCCAAAAACGTTAGACAATGTTGACCCACCACCCGGATTGGCACTTTTCAGCAGAAAGTTTCTATCTTTGATCAACCCTTTTCATAATCAAGCTGAAATTTAAATCCAAAGAGGCAAATTATACGTGCATGCAACAACATGATCAGAAAGAGGAGGTTAAAAAACTAACCAGAGCAAGTCTCTTGTAAGCATTCCTGAGGTCTGAGGTAGAGCATTCCTTTCGCAACCCCAAAACTCCGTACAAATCCCTGCCACTACTTATGCTGCCATTATCTCCAAGATTCGCCATTGGTGTTTCCGTTCTCAACGAAGTCCAAACCTTCACCCCTTTTTTCTTGTCGACAAATTACAACAAACAAGAACCCAATAGAACGCTCAACAAAACAGAGCAAACACAAAACCCTGTTTTAGAAATGGAGTGGGAAGCTGGCTTGTTAGCATAAAAAAAAAAAAAAAAGGGAAGCGTAAAGAAGGGAGAAGAAAGGGACGAGACCAAGAAAGAGAGAGAGAGAGAGCTAAAATCCACTAGCTTTTCCACCTTTTCTCCTGTGTCCTACTGTCCTTCGACTGGAGGAATTGGAGGTGGGAGAGGAAATTGTGAAAGGGAAAAAGATCTGCTGGCGCTGGCTGTTGCTGGTGGCTGCCAAATAGAATTCTCCAGAAACCGGCCATTTATACATAATAAAGTTTCTTTCTTTCTTTATCTCTGCCTTGTGGTTTTGATTTGGATTTGTGTTTGTTTACCGATAATGGTATTGTATCTAGTTGCAAGTGGCATTGCTATATAATAATCTCTCCTCTAATATTCAATTAGTTATTCTGCACCTCATTGCAATGATCTTTTGTTTAAATATTTCCCACCACGAGAAAGATCAATTACTATTTGAACCTCAACAATGGGTCCACCAACTCTGATTTCACTATAGACTCACAACTCTGAATTTTGTAATAGAAAACGCAAGTGCCTATGCAAGTTTGTATCTATTAAATTCAACACACTTATTATGCTAAATGTAACATGTGATCTATTTTTAAATAAACGTGTATAATTATAATAATACTCTATACTATATACTTTAGCCTTTCTTGAAACTTCTAAATTAAGTGTTGCGAAAATTGTCGAAGATGAAATTTGTAATAGAAAATAGAGAACAAAATACATATAGATTACTGTGATTAGGGCTGTTAATGAACCAAGCCGCTCATGAACGGCTCAGTGTGTGACTCGAGAAAAACTCGTTCGACACTCGATTCGTTTTAATCGAGCCGGCTCGCGAACAAGCTCGTTAACTAAACGAGCCGAACCCGAGCCATACCATGTTCAGCTCGAAAGCTCGCGAACAAGCTCATTTAATGGTTTGACATAAAAAAGGATTAGAATTCATGAATTTTATGTATTGAAATTGGGATAAATATTGTGTTTTACTTTGCTAGACTTTGCTACAGGTTAGAATGTAATTTTGTGCGCAGTTCTAGGTCAATCTTGAGCTATTATGAACATTTTATGAGCTGAACTCGAATTTGGGCTTGTTAAACTTATTTGACGAGCCGAGCTCGAGTCGAGCTCGAGCTTTCATTTTCATAAACGAGCCGAGCTCGAGCTTGCACTTGCATACTAAAGCTCGTGACGAACACGAGCCGAGCTCGAGCCTGGAAATATATTAACGAGCCGAGTCCGAACTATGGCAAAACTCGGCTCGACTCAGCTCATCAACAGCCCTAACTGTGATGCATACATCCAATAAATCTTACATAAGTCTTGTTTATTTAGTATATTAGTGCTGATACACAACAAAGGGGGAAAAATCTAGAAATATGTGGAGCACACACAACCAAAATAAGGGTGATTTTTGTGGCAAAGGAGAGAATGGTTGAGGTTGGGAGGGAAAATGGACGGTGGAGATGGAGAGATGCCTCTTAGATATTTTGGTGAGAATGAGTGAATACAAAAGATGTGTCCAGAAGGTTCTGTGTTTAGGTATGATTGGTCCCTTTCGATGGCCTCCCAATTAAAAATGAAAGATTGAAAGCAATTGGAAGTATTGAATATTGATTACAATAGAAAGGAGAAGGAAAGAAGGAGAAGTGAATGCTTTGTTTGGGAAGAAAATGGAGAGCTCGAGAAAGATTTTTTATGATAAGACAAAATAAAGTTTTTAGATCATGCAGAGGTCAAAATTTTACCAAAATTTCCAATTTTGGAGAGGAAGAAGTTGAAAGATTCAAATGCCCTTCATATTCTTCAACATGCTTCTTTTTCTAACTAACCTTAAGCATTAGAGAGCACAATGGTAGTTGGTTTGTCTTTTACTAGCTTTTTATCTGATCCGTTGGTTGGAAAGATTTATTTTATAATTTATATGTTAATCATTTTAAATCTTCTAAATATTTTGTAACAGAGTTTGTAGTATGTCTATATTGAATTTCCAATATTTAGCACACTCACTTGTGATGCTTCGGTTTTCTAATCATAAATTATGTCGCTGTCACGTCCCATTTAGAACTTATGTCAAAATTTGTCAACCAAAACACTAATATTTAGCGTACGCCAACCTGAACCACACACATATATATAATTCCAGCTAGCGTGCGCCAGGAGTACGCTACACTCTTGCGTTCATACTACCATACGACCATTGAGTTTTACTATTTAGACTCGAATTAATCGGTGTTTTTTGGGGCATGATACTATACCCTAACCTCTAATAGGTGAACTCCAGTCCCTAATTCTGTAACCTCTAATTTATGCACATACTTCGTAATACCTATCTTCTATCGTATCTTGAGTTAAATAAAAAATATAGTATACATTGATATTACATATACATGTATATATGTGTGTGTATATATTAGACTCAAAATTATCTAGAGATCTCGCTTTTACCCCCATAACGCCAGACAACCATTGGGGTTGTCTATCGTTCGATATGTAATATATAAAGAGGCAAATACTAAGATCCTACTATTTATTTCTTATCCTCTCCCGTCGTCCCCTTTATGGAAAATAAAAAGGTAGGGATGACAGGATCATAGCTCGATATGGTTTTATTATGTTCATCGTATCGGAGGTTATGTTCTTTTTTGCTTTTTTTTTGTTTCTTTTTCATTCTACTTTAGCACCTATGGTCACTACAACAAATTCGGCCTATTATGACGAGGCAATTTTGTCATATTAGATACCCATTTTGTCATATTAGGTATAATATGACAAAATGTGTTGTCACAAAGCTTTGTCATTTTATCGCTGTCAAGATAGGTCAAATGTGACAAATTTCTAAAATAACGTTGTCATATTTGTTGTATGATATTGCGACATATTCTCGTGTCATATAATTGGTAAAAAATTGACGAATAGTTTTGTCCCAATAAGGAAGGGTTTGTCACATTTGGACTTTGGCTTGTCAGTTCAGCTCATGTTCTAGTTAGTCTATTGTGACAAAATGAGCTTTTGTGACGAAATATTATGTCATTAGTTTTGTCATAATTTGATGATTTTGTCAAAATTGATATTCATATTACACGATCATACGATGAATATATTTTGACATAACTGCATATTATCTCGACGACCAGATCTGTGTTGACGACCCTTCTTTCACCTTAATCGAACCCCAAAAAATAGCAATCTCCCATTTTCGCTCTCCACCTCCAGAAATGGAACCCCCAGCACAATATCCCCAAACCCATAAATTGAAACTCCCAAACAAAACAAAACCCAGCATTCAACACTCGTCCACCTCAATCGAACCCCAAAAGATCCCCCCCAAACCCATCTTCGTAGGTTCCTTTCCCAACTGTCACCAGCACGCTGCTCCTCTAGCAGTCGATCCACGTCGATGCACCGCAAACCGTCACTTCCATGGCGGATCTGGGATGATGTTGAAGAAGGCAGGTTGTTGACCCTAGAAAATCAAAATCATACCAGATGAACTGAGATGGATATTGGGGAAAGACAGACAAAATTAGAAGAGGGATTCTCTATACCTTCTCTGATCTGGTTCAGTGTAGGAAACCTGTCGAGTCTCCGAGTTGCGACAGAGTCAACCACCCGCGTCATCGAGCCGAGACTGAGTCATCCCCTCGAGTCGCGCAAGTACTTTGTCCAGAATCGCTCCTCGACATAGGATCGAAGCTTGCAAACGGGTTAGAAGTTCATCGGCCAGAATCGCCAGTGCCTTCCACGTCGCTGTATCGCAACACCGGAGTTGAGGCCCAGTACGCAATCGACCTGCTATGTGGGATATCAAAGGTCGGTGCCGCCAGAGATGGTGTTGGTTGAATCTGTGTGACGGAGCCAGGGAGGAGAGCATTCGTTTAGGGTTTGTGGGGCGCCGATTCTGAGATAGGAGGCGAAGTCATTTGATTGGGGAAGAAGAGAGAGTAATATAAAGGGATACAAATGGAGGTGAATTAATTGCAAACAAATAAAGACAAGGTAAAGTTGATTACCGCGAAAAACTTAAAATTTGAGGAATCTCAAAATTTGAAAATTTCAATTTTCCTCCGCCAAAACAGAAGTGAAAGTTTGGGAGGCAAACTCAAAAAATTTTGGTTTTGAGTTGGTTCCCAAGAAACCGACTTCAAAATGTCTTTTGTCTAACACAAGCTAATCTGACGAAAATGCCTTTTGTCAAAAACGATACCACTATATTATGACGAACATGCCTTTTGTCAAAGCCGAAACCACTATATTATGACAAACATGCCCTTTTGTCAGCTCGTCGTAGGATTATTGCTATCTATTGTGACAAAAATTTTGTCACATTACTCACTTTAAATGACAAACGATTCAGACTACAAGAAATTTGTCACTATTGAGTCTCTTATATTCCGATATGGGACGCCTATTTTGACAAAATTAATTGTGACATGAAATATTTGTCACATTACTCACTTTAAATGACGACTTATTCTGACAACAGTATTTTTGTCCCATTAGGTATACCAAATAGGACATATATTATTTTTGTCATATAATAGTACCTATTGTGACAAAAAGGAAATGACAAAATAATTTTTTTGTCCTAATAGGCCAAATTTGTTGTAGTGGGTTGTGATCAGAGGTATTTAGCCCTCAAAAGGGATTGAGATTTTAGGTCATTTGGAAATCCAATATACATTCATGATCCTCGAGTTTGGACGAACTCTCGACCAATGTTGTAAAGATTACGACTTTTTAGTGAGAAAGTCTTAGTAAAGATACTTCATTATTGGATATATTCATCCATATTGAAACTTGACACACACCGTAGCCCTCATGATGACTAAATTCTCTAATATCGACTCATTTCCATTTTGGATGTTTGTTATACAACATGTATCAATTGTTAATTCTTGAAGTTTATACAAAACCTCAACCGGTGGTCATTGTTTATATGTTGGCTTAGAATCTCAATCTAAGGCACTCACACACACTATCAAGAATTTTGGTCTTAAAATGGTTGTTGAATGTGTAATTTTCAAAGATTTTATCACTTATATATTAATAATTGATAAAGAGTGTCTCCAATACACATATTTTAAGTGCATTTAAAATGTCTTATGATTTGAACAATATCACTGTATTTCATTTGATTATTTGCATTAACTTATTATGTTATACAACATATATTAATTCGTGTTTCTCGAGTCTAGACGAACTGACAACCAATTTTGAGAGTTGAGATTATTGGATAAAGATACTTGATTGTTGGATAAATATGTTTATCCCAAATGACGATCTTACTAAAAATTGCCAACCTTTATTTGGTAAATGCCTAGGTTAGTAGTTGATAAAACATGATGTTTATCGTAGATTCTCAACAAAGATTTTTCTAACCTTCACATCTATTATTTTTCAAGGAATCTTGTGTCTCATCCTAGGGTATGAAGTCAAAGTTCGTCAACAATCATACCTAATTCATTTTGAAAATTTTGATTTATAATCGTCGAAGATAACTCCAAGCCTGAAACAAAATTTATACGACTTAGAACCTCAATAGAGCTTGCTCAATCAACATGATATATAGCAAATATTATTAATGTGAACTTATGTCACATTATCAAATTATTGCACATGTGATCCTTTTCATTTGTAGAATTTAAGGTAGAACATGATCTGAATGTATAAGATTTTTTTTAAAATAAATAACTGTAACTACTCGATCAAGATTATGCTCTAACATTTTGCTAAATAATACTGTTTTATTTTATAGATATATACTATACGAATAAGAGAGTGTTTCATTGCAACAAAATATAAAGTAATATAATTTATTTTTCAAAGGTAATTAAATGTCAAATGTTTATTTTCTCTCTTTTCATATATATTTTTATTTAATCGATTAAAACATAATTTTTTATGTGTATGTTTGTTTATTTTTTCATCAAAATGTAACTTACCTTTGAATTTTAGTAAAAATGAGTAAAAATTTATTTCATAAGGTTTATTATTTATTTAAACAAATGTGATATATGTCACTGTCTGTTTTCTTATTTATATTTTGTTTATTTAACAAAAAATTATTATTTATGTGTGTTTGGTTAAGTTTATCAACATGTAACTTATTATTAAAGACAAAAAGAATAATTGGATAAATGAAAAAGAATAATTGGATAAAAGAAATGGAAATATCAAAGAAGAGAGAAGTAACTCCATAAATACATTAATAACTAATTTTTTATTTGTAAAAAAGTTGTCCAACTTGATAAATTGTGGATCCTCCAAGTGCTTATGTGACAAGATTTTTTTTTTAATTGTCATAATATATAGTATAGATATAAATATGGATAAATAGATAGATAGATATAGATTGTTGCTCTACATTCCTTGACAACTCTACTAAAGATTATTAGGTGGATTAACCCAAGTTAGAATTTCAAAATCGTGTCTTTATTTGTTGAGTTTTTTAGTTTTGTAAACCCATAATCTTGAAGAAAAAAAAAACACCAAATGAAATTTCTAATGCACTTAAAAAAGAGTACTTCAGCCGAAAGAAAAACAAACTAGTTGACAAAAAGATAACTGGTTGAAGTTGAGTTCAATCCTAATCGTCATAACAATGTTATAAACTTGTAGTCTTCTGTGAATTGAGCCCTTTATAAGCGACATCCACCACAATATTTGACACATCCACCATAATATTTGACATTCACTCATATGATAACCAGAAACAAGCATTGAAATTGCAATATTTTCTATATAAGAGTGATATAGGTTTGTTATCATTATAAGGTGCTACTTGAAAATTTTAACCCTGAAATTTCTAGATTTAAAGCGAGTGGTAGTACTTTTTTTTAGGTAAGGGTGATATAGATTTGTTTTCAGTATAAAGTGCTACTTGAGAAGTTTGAATCTAAAGCCTTCCGGTTTAAAACTAGTGGCAAAGTGACCGTACCACTATACCAAACCTTTGTAGGACGAATTAGAATTGAAAGTAAACTTTTTGAGTAACGTAGAAAAGCTCAGAATTCTGAAACGATTTATACAAAAAAAAGGAGGTCGTTGGATGGATCAATCTAGAAATGAGTCAATTTGATCAATTGTCTCGTTTTATAAACGACGCAATTAAAACGAGTCAATTCGAATTACATGCCCCCACCCCAGGTAATTGAAATTGACTCAAAACGGATTAATTCAAAATACCACAGGCAGATTGATCCATCCAAATTTTTTGCTGGCAAACGAGGCAATTTGGTACAATTGTCTCAAAACGAGACAATTATGAGGAATTGTAACGGATCAATCTGATGAGACAATTGTACCAAATTGCCTCGTTTGCCAGCAAAAAATTTGGATGAATCAATTTGGGCTGGGGAATTCTTAATTGACTCATTTTGAGCCAATTACAATTGTTTGGGGTGGGGGCAGATAATCTGAATTGACTCATTTTAAATGACTCATTTTGTAAAAGGCAAAATACACTTACATAGCCATAACTTTACACTTTGTGACAAATATAGCCAAATTCTAAAAAATACACAGAAATAGCCAATCCGTCCATTAATGTAACGGAACTATAACAACAGCTGACTGGACAAACGGTCGTCTGTGGTCGCGCCTGCCTTGGTCCACATGGCATGCCAAGGTGGAATTTAAATATAATTATTTATTAAATAATAAACATTAAAAAAAACTCTCACATCTTTACCATAATTTTTTGGGTAAATACAATTTAATATCCAAACCTTTCATTTTAAACAATATAATAGCCAAACCTTTTCGAAAACAATCTAATATCCAAATCGTCAACTTTCCGTTCGTCTGACCGTTAGTTGACACTTCAAAAAAGCTTTGTTTAGGGGAAATTGTCACAATACAACTTTGTTTCTTGTTTTGGCATTGCAGATGACTGAATATTTAGATATTCTATACCATCATGGTGGAGTCATGGACTTCTCGGGTTTGGAACTACGATATGTTGGTGGTTTTTCAGAGAAGATATCGATGGATATTGATGAAGTGTCGTACTTCGAACTTTTTTGAAGTGTCAACTAACGGTCAAACAGACATAAAGTTGACGATTTGGATATTAAATTGTTTTCGAAAAGGTTTGGCTATTATATTGTTTAACATAAAAGGTTTGGATATTAAATTGTATTTACCCTAAAATTTTCCCAATCCCTATCTCCTTCCCCTGCATCCAAGATCTCTCTTCTTCTCCTTTAGCTCTCTGTGTCTACCCTTTCGCTCACAGCATCCCGCCGCACAAGCAATCGGCGGTAGTAATCACAATCAGAGAAACAATCACCACCAGCATCAGAGGGCTTAATCTTGAACCATCGCCAAATTCGTTTCCCCATTCTCGAGATCCTCTAGATCCGCTGCCGTAATTTCCCTTTCGGCACTTAGACTTCTTAATCCGACTCCCTGACTCCAGATCTGAACTGCACCTCATCGTCATCTTCCTCTTCGTCTTTCCAATCCCTTCAGCTGTGGACTGGGGTTAGGCAGTGGCGGCGGTGGTGGAGCAAAAACCCTAATGAATCGACGATGTTGAAGAAGAATCACAGCCAGTAGTCGTTTTCCAGCAGCCCC